TTGCAAACACGTGTACGGTTCGATTTTGTGAGCTTCCACATCGATTTAAGAGGGTAACAAAGTATTCCTTATACGGACATGGAAACCTCTCTCTAACAGACCTATTTAAAATTGTAGGGTCGACAACAATATGTAATGGGTTAAAATGGACAATATTTGCTAGCGGTGGGTTTGAGTTGTTACAAATGGTATAAGAGCCAAACACTGGATGGTGTGTCTGCGAGGACGTTGGGGGGCTCCCAAGAGATGGATATTGAGGTCTCACATCGGTTGGAGTGGGGAACGAAACATCTCTTAAAAGGGTGTGGAAACCTCTCTCGAATAGACATGTTTTAAAATCGTGAGGCTGACGACAATACGTAACAGGTCAAAATGAACTAGAGTTGATTATAGGTAAGAGCTTGCGTGTTTTTACGTGGGAGTAGACCCCAATATTATAATAGTCTCTCAAAGGGTTCGGTACCATTTCCTTATGACGAGACATGAAAAATCCTTGTGATGGGACAATTGTCTATTATATGTTGTCCTCGATCATCACGACCCGATGAGTCCATGATTGAGGTTTTCTTCTCATTTTCTTAGAGTGGGCTGAATCAATTGTGAGCTTATGCTTTGTTTTAAGCTTATGGTTTGAATCAATCCGAGCTTAAATGGGCCTAAATTGTGCTAAATTATATACACACGGTTCGAGATGAGGACGAACCATTCTTTATAAGTGTGTGGAAATATCTCTCTAATAAACGTGTTTTAAAACGAAGGGCTGATGACGATAGCTAAAACGGACAATATATATAAGCAGTGGTCTCGAACTATTACAGTTGATATTAGAGCTAGACACTGAGCGGTGTGTCAGTGAGGACGTTGGGACTCCTCGGGTTGTTACACGAATACTCGAAAATATGTCTCATTCTAGGTTTGTGAGAGAGGGAGTATTATGTCATTTTCCATGAGAGAGAAATAAGGGGAAAAAGAAACGTAAATAAAGGAGGAAAGGAATTATAGGTCAAAATGTGAAATTAATAATGGGCCTTGTCGGTAGCTTTGTTGGACTGTCAGGGTTTTAAGCTCGACCCAATTGTACTCTCCACCCAATCAAAACCAGCCAGCTGTAAATTTGAATATTCAACATTTTTTTAATCCATTTAACTCAAAGGGGTAACTTGTAACTTAAAATATTATTTGTTACTTTACATTAATAATTTCTTAGTTTATATACCTAATGCAATAAAAATAAATAAATCTTTTTGATTCGTCCGTGTCAAAATGTTCAACTTCTAAAAAACGTGATAACAAAATTAGGGTTTAGGGTTTGATGAAAAGTTAACTTCGTTCGATATAGAAAGGAAAGTGACTCACGAAAATAATCGATTCTATTTGTAAGCTAACAGAGAACATGGTTTGATTCATCTGTAATTCGTTAAAACTGTCATGTTTGTAAAGCGTATGTAAATTTTTGTCCTTAAAATTACGTATTTACCCTTTGAAACAACGTCGAACACCACTGTAGCTAGTATTTGTGAGATTTCATATAGGTTGGAGAGTGAAACGAAGCATTCCTTATAAGAGTGTGGAAACCTCTCCCTAACATACGCATTTTAAATCCGTGAGGTTGATGGCAATACGTAACGAGTTAAAATAGACAATATCTGCTAGAAGTGAGCTTGGACTGTTACAAATGGTACAAGAGCTAGACATCGAGTGGTGTGCCAACGAGAACGTTGGGCCCTAAGGGGAGTGGATTGTGAGATACCACATGGATTGGAGGAACGAAGCAAGTAGACAATATCTGTTAGTGATGGACTTAGGCTATTACAATATTACAACCATTTTTATTTTTTTTCTCGGGTCTTCACCTATATATATATATATATATATATATATATTTGGTCTATTTACTGATAGGCTGAGATAGACTTATGTCGTACTTACTCGAGATATTTTGGTGCATATTCACGGTGACTAATGACTTTATATTAATTTGTGGCACCTCGACCTATATTGTCTAGACCTATCCGAGCGCGAAACATTATTGATTATAGAGTTCATAATAATTTTATAGAATGAATGAGTCCACACATACTAACCAACAAAAATGTACAATTTATTGATACTTATTTATAAACTTTCATCATCTTGTAATATCTTTCACGTTTCCCAATTTCCAACAGCCCAAGAGACCACATCCAACGTTGCCCACATCTCATGTTTCTTTCATTTATGTTCTTACATGGTGTCCCCATGTTCTGAAGTTTTATGTACCATTTCCTTTTGCATGAGCCATAGGGTAAGAAAGAACTAGCTCGACATTTTCCCGTCTCGGTGGGTTGCATGAATTATATATAATATTTTTGTACTTTTAAGACAGGTCTCGATTATGTTCATAGGATTTGAAAAGTTTTATTTTAAGCTTTAAACCGTAAAAGAATCTCACATGGGCTGTTACTGGTATACAACTGAAACCTATGGATCAAAGTACACGATAGAGCTCCCTGGGGCCTATGGATCAAAGTACACTATAGAGCCTTCTCTGAGGCCTATGGAACCCTCGAACAGTCTCCCTTTAATCGAGGCTAGTATATAACTGCTGAAGCTATGGACCAAAGTACACTCTAAAGCCTTCCTTGAGGCCTATGGAACCCTCGAACAGTCTCCCCTTAATCGAGGCCGGTATACAACTGCTGAGGCATATGAAACAAAGTACACTCTAGAGCCTCCTCTGAGGCCTTTGGAACCCTCGAACAGTCTCCCCTTAATTGAGGCTAGTATACAACTGCTGAGGCCTATGGAACAAAGTAGACTATAAAGCCTTCCCTGAGACCTATGGAACCCTCGAACAGTCTCCCCTTAATCGAGGCTGGTATACAACTGTTGAGGCCTATGGAACAAAGTACACCCTAGAGCCTCCCGTGAGGCCTATGGAACCCTCGAACAGTCTCCCCTTAATTGAGGCTAGTATACAACTGTCGAGGCCTATGGAACAAAGTACACTCTAGAGCCTCCTTTGAGGCCTTTGGAACCTCGAACAGTCTCCCTTTAATTGAGGCTAGTATACAATTGCTGAGGCCTATGGAACAAAGTACACTATAAAGCCTTCCTTGAGGCCTATGGAACCCTCGAAAAGTCTCCCTTTAATCGAGGCGGGTATACAACTGTTGAGACCCCTATGAAACAAAGTACACTATAGAGCCTCCTCTGAGGCCTATGGAACCCTCGAACAGTCTCCCCTTAATCGAGGCGGGTATACAACTGTTGAGACCCCTATGAAACAAAGTACACTATAGAGCCTCCTCTGAGGCCTATGGAACCCTCGAACAGTCTCCCCTTAATCGAGGCGGGTATACAACTGTTGAGACCCCTATGAAACAAAGTACACTATAGAGCCTCCTCTGAGGCCTATGGAACCCTCGAACAGTCTCCCCTTAATCGAGGCGGGTATACAACTGTTGAGACCCCTATGAAACAAAGTACACTATAGAGCCTCCTCTGAGGCCTATGGAACCCTCGAACAGTCTCCCCTTAATCGAGGCGGGTATACAACTGTTGAGACCCCTATGAAACAAAGTACACTATAGAGCCTCCTCTGAGGCCTATGGAACCCTCGAACAGTCTCCCCTTAATCGAGGCTCGACACCTTTTAAGGGCATGACTCTGATATCATGTTAAGAACCACGAATCTCCACAATTGTATGATATTGTCCACTTTGAGCATAAGGTTTCATGGCTTTGCTTTGAGCTTCCCCAAAAGGTCTCATACAAATGGAGATGTATTTCTTACTTATAAACTCGATCATTCCCTAAATTAGCTAATGTGAGTAGGAGTGTCTCAATTCAATATCATCGGTGGCATCTTTACAACCTACCGTCATGCTCGGAAAAGTTGTTCATCAACTTTAAAATTAAATTATTTGGGACAAAAGAAAAAGCTTTAATTATATGGACGTAGATGGGAAGTAGCCAATAGTGAAGCACTATTGTTGATCATGCATAGCCAAATAAATCAACTTACAACTTATTCATGAGTATCTTGGTCAAGATACGCAATCAATTTGGCACCCAAATCTATTACAATTTGACACCCACCAGTCCTTTTGGTCTTGTCAATCTCCTTTGGTTTGATGGCACAAACTGCCCCTCAAGTTCAATATATATTTTTTACGATCGTTGGACGTTAGACGAGGTTTGTCTTTGTCAATCGAACATCGCTCATGCGAAATTCAAGCTTATTCGGCCACACACGCTGCCTACTCGTGTATGTTCAATCATCTGCAGTACAACCAACTTGCCTCTACACTAGACCAAGGTCTCTCAATGCAATGTCGCATCCTATCATCTCATTTTGGTGTCCAATTAACATGACTCTCATGTTTTGACGTCATCCCAAGTCAAGGGTGTCGTTGACCATCGTAGCTTACTCATTCATGCCATCAAGAACAAACCCACGTGCCATTCATCTCATCGAGACTTCTCGAACCTCCATCCATCCGAATTCTTTCGAGACATCGGCCCTCCTATGCCGATGAAGTAATCGCTATAATTAATCGCCAATTTAGATTAATTAGCACGAGTTTTCTCACTCTCATATTAAACATTTAGATTTTTCAAAATCAAAATTTAATGGGCCCATGATCCATCCAATATTCTTGGCCCAAAAGCACGATTGTGGGCTAACATATTCATATGAAATGGTCGTGGGCCGACCCATAAAGATAAATTAGATTGTGACAGTCTCATCAAATAATTTCCCATTTGAAAGAAATTATCTTACGATGTTTTTTTTACCACGGTTAAAAAAATTGGTTAAGAATTCTAAGTGAGAAAACAAAATATAATTTTTAAAAATTAAAAACAAAATTATATGATTAATTAACTAATTATTTGCGTCAACTTTCAATTGGTTGGAAATTTAGTAATTATTAATTTTCATGATAATATTTAGATAATCATTAGAAGTTTTATGGTTATACGCTACGTTAAGGAAATGGCGGATCTGAATCAAACGACATCGTTTTTAGTTGTCAACCCGGATTCTTTCCCTCCCCATCTTGTATTCTGTTATTTTCTCGAGAAAATCTAGCGCCGAGAAAATTCCTGCTAATCTTGGAACTGCGGCGCAATCACTTGGCATATTTCCGGTGACGGAAATGGATCGGAGGAGAGTTGCTAGTCCAGTCTCCGCCCGGCAGTGGAGTGGTGGCTCGAGCAGCACGGGATCATCTTCTCCGGCTCATCCTCACGCTCTATTGGGTTCGAATTCCACCATCAAGCGCGCTCAGAATGTTGCCGCAAAGAAGGCTGCTCAACGTTTGGCTGAGGCTATGGCCAACACGCGGCCGCCCGTGGAGGGCGACGATGAAGATGAAGATGAAGAGGATGATCTCAACTTCCGATTCCGTGCTCCGCCTCCTCCTAGTCACTCATCTTATCCCAGTGCTGTGAACAGTAACAATTCCAATTCGTTTCATACGATTTCAGGTCCCAGGATTAACAGATCTCCGTCTCCCGCGGTAATTTCGAGTATCCTTGGCTCTTCTCATTTAATTAGGTGACTCGTTGACGTCAATTCTCATGAAATTTTGTCTAGTCTCTATCTTTTTGTTATCATTGCTTTCAAGATCTGTGTACTAGCAGCTTGGCTTGTTATCGATTATTCTAGGATTCAGTAGATATTGTGATCAATCCCGCGCCGGGCATTTTCCGGCGTTTTGATTGTTTAGCATTAGCTTGTGGAACAATCTAACGAGAAGGCGACTGGAATTTCTGGTGTTTTGATTAGTTAGGTCGTAATTTCGTAGAGAATGTTCCTCAAGTTCGATCCACATCAGCTGGTAGATCATCGAGGTCCGTGCGTTCGAGCCAGATCGTTCCACCAAGTAAACCTCCACCCAGAACTCCAGTCTTCATTCCTCCAATTGAACCTCCTTCTAATAGGATTGGAGATAGAAGGTTATTATTACGCTCAACACCTTGTTTTTTCAAATACGTGTGATAAATGGGGATCATGACAAATGGGGGCAATGCGTTTTCTTATTTCTCCATTTACTCAATTCCAAAAAAATTTTTGGTCAGATTTACATCAGATATCGGACAGGTCAACTCCAAAGATGCAGGGGATCAGTCCGAAGCTTCTGCACTACGTGATGAGGTATGGGAATATAAATTGTAGAGATCAATTTCTTCCTCTGGCACTAGAAAAAAATGTGTTAGAGGATTGTTGGGAGGGAGTCTCACATTGGTTAATTTAGGAAATGATCATGAGTTGATAAGTAAGGAATATATCTCCTTTGTGACGAGGCCTTTTGAAGAAACCCAAAGAAGCCATGAGGGCTTATGCTCAAAGTGGACAATATCATACCATTTTGGAGAGTCGTGATTCTTAACATGGTATCAGAGCCATGCCCTTAACTTAGCCATGTCATGTTGAACAAAGAAGTTGTGAGCCTCAAAGGTGTAGTCAAAATTGACTCAAGTGTTGAACAAAGGGTGTACTTTGTTCGAGGACTCCAGAGAAGGAGTCGAGCTTCGATTAAGGGGAGATTCTATAGTGTAGTTTGTTTAAGGGGAGGAGTGTTGAAGATTGTTGGGAGGGAGTTCCACATTGGCTAATTTAGTTGAATGATTATGAGTTTATAAGCAAGGGATACATCTCCATTGGTATGAGGCCTTTTGGGGAAGCCCAAAGCAAAGCCACTAGGGCTTATGCTCAAAGTGGACAATATCATCCCATTGTGGAGAGTCGTGATTCCTAACAAGATGACCCCTCTGTTGGATTGGATTGGAGGAAGCTAGTTCCTAAGCGTATTAACTACGTCTTTTGTTCGATGAAATCACACAGTGATTCTCGAGTCAAATGCACTGAATCTGACTTTGGTCTTTTTGCAGCTTGATATGCTACAAGAAGAGAACGAGAATATATTTGGAAAGGTCTGCTCACTGTTTCAAGAAAGATTATGAATATGAATATCAGTTCCACGAATACCATGTTCAATTGAGATTTATGCTTGAGTTTGTTGGACAGCTTCGAGAAGCAGAAGAAAAACGGGAAGAGGCAGAGGCTAGAGCTAGAATGCTAGAGAAACAGGTATTAATTAACCTACTGATTTTCTTAGTTTTATTGATAGGTTGATTGAAAAATGAAAGTTAAGTAAATCCAAGGGCCTCATAGAGAAAGATGCCTGTACTTTAATAGTCATAGTATGACTGCATGTATCTTGAGATGTTTGTTGGTTAGTTATTTTTTAAAACTTATGTGTAGGCAGTTCACCGAATTAAATTAAAAATTTGCATTTGTTGCAAGCTTTACACACCTTGAACAATTTACTGACCTATGTTTATTATTTTTGTATCAATACTTTCACAGGTTGCTACTCTTGGAGAGGGTGTATCTTTGGAAGCCAAATTATTAAGCAGGTACGTTTGCATCGCGTTAAACGTGCCATTTTTTTGTGAAATTTTCCAGGTCTTACTGTTTCGCCTTATTTATTTGCAGGAAAGAAGCAAAACTGCGTCAAAGAGAGGTTTGTTGAGATTGTAACTGCATGAAGCATATAGAATAGGTTTCAAGGGATCGAGTCATTTTTTATTCTGTAGGCCCTTTACATTATTAATCCCAGTTCTAGGAAATGGGCCAAGTTGAAATTTGCTTCAGAATGAGCACCTTTGATGTCATTGGCTCTGTCTTTTGTTTTAACCCTGACTATTATTCTTTGTATAGGCTGCACTCAAGGCTGCAATACCAACCAAGGATAGTAGAAACGAAGAAATTGCTGCCCTTCGTTCAGAAATTGAGGTAAAAATCACTATCTCTATTTACATAACTAGTTGAGTGATTTCAATCCATGTCTTGGTTTTCAAATGTCTGATGTTGCAATTATCTTATCAGAACTTAAAAGATGAGTCATCAGCAGCTACAGAACAACTCCGAGAAGCAGAGTCTGAAGCAAAGGCTCTTCGTGTAATGACACAAAGAATGATTTTGACACAAGAGGAGATGGTTAGTGTCTAACTATAGAATCAATGTCTACGTTCAGCTGTGAAGTTCTCTTTCAATCATATTTTCTTTGTTCTTTTTCCAGGAAGAGGTTGTTTTGAAGAGGTGTTGGCTTGCTCGCTACTGGGGCTTAGCTGTTCAATATGGTAAGGAACATTTTCTCGTTTTATAAATACCTCATAGCTTATTGAGTTGTGTGCTTTCATAAAGCTTAAGTTCTTTCTAATTGGGCTGGGTTTATGGTTGGTAAAATGAAAACTGTATATTATGAAGTTCACAAAAACAAGGCAAATAGGAAATTCAGAAAGCACTTTGTGGAGTATTAAGCTACTTTCGAATGGTTGTCTCTGATAACTATGAGAAATGACAATAAGACTTCTTTTTGGCTAGATGTTTTGGCGGGTAATCAAGCATTGGCTGCTTGTTTCCCAAAAATCATTGGAATTTCAGAAAATAAAGTTATTATTCTTCAAGATTAGAAGGCTGTTTTGTGATTAGTTCTTTTGGGTGGGGGTTTTCTCTTGTTTCTTTTACGAAAACCAATAAAACTCTATATGATTTTTTTCTCCATCTCTTCCAGAACTTAATCATGGATTGCTAATCATCTTTGTAGCTATGTTTGTAGGGAAATTAGATGACTTGTTTCTTTCCTCAATAAATTTTGAGTGCCGTTATTTAATATCTTCCTTGGCCTTTTCCCCCTCCTATTTTCATTTATGTTTTATAAGGCTCTTAATAATTTTACATCTGGGCCACTTGTATTTGTTGCAAGAATTTTTCTTCTGCATGTTTGTAGTTTTTTTTTTTCCTTCACTGATTTGCTTGTTTTCAGGAATATGTGCGGATATTGCACTCTCAAAACATGAGTATTGGTCTTCTTTAGCTCCTTTGCCATTCGAAGTTGTTACTTCTGCTGGACAAAAGGCTAAGGAGGAGCCTGAAGGTTGGTTCAACTCTGGGATCCAGTTGTTTAATATCATGCACTTGTTTTTATCCACTTCTTTGTACTTAATGAACAAAAATAATGTTGAGCATCAATCTTTCAGGTCGAAATGATCAAGATAGGAGTAAGCTCATCCAGGATTTAAATGATCTATCTGGTGAAGGAAATATTGAGAGTATGCTTTCAGTTGAAATGGGACTGAGAGAACTAGCATCTCTAAAGGTTTTCTTTTTTCCTTTGTGGAAAACTTAGTTTTCGCTATGATTGCTATAATAATTTCATTATCTGCTCTTATTTTTGTGCTTTTCCCCCTTGATTTTAGACGTGAATGATAGCTCTTCGTAGCTTGAATCTTTCTGTTGTATCCTTCTTGTTGTAATTGATATGTCCTTATGTTTACTTTTTTTCAATTTTGTATTTTTTATATATATTCACGAGTGTCTCTACTGCTTGTGCACACGTCGATTAATCTCATGGATTTTTTTTCTCAAAACTCTTTCCTTTTTGCATTTTCCAGGTTGAAGATGCAGTTGTGCTTGCATTGGCACAACATAGATGTCCAAGTTTGATTCATCAATCAGGTGAAGTTTTACCTTCAAACTTTTTGAACAATTGCATTTCCAGTTAAAATATTTTGAAGAGTATTGATTTTTACTCACCCTTCTCAATTAGTCAGAATATATATTATTACTTTGAAGAATCAGAGCTTTGTTCTCTTTTACATGTCGATATTAATACGATGGATTACTTATATGTGACGTTAGTCAATGACAAAATCAATTCTGTACAATCATAACTTCGAGAGTTATTTGCAGCTTTAATAGTTCGACTTGCCATGATTAAAAAACTGAATGACTTTTTTGGATATGGCCTTAACGTACCACCCTTTCAAGAACACAAAAGTCGTATTATGGAAAAACCTCATCATGACTTTTCGATAATGTTATTTACCAAGCTATATCTTGGTGTAAACTTTCTAACATTTTTATTTAGTTATACCTCCCTCGTTACAAATCAGGAAGGCCTTTTGTAAACACCATGGATAATAAAAAAAAAACTGAATGATTTTTCAATTGAATCTAATAAGAATGGTACAAATAAAGTTGCTTATTTTCTTTCGCTTTTCTAATCACAGATTCAAAATCACATGCTGATCGGAAGTTTACTGAGGCTTTTGGTAAGTTGACTTTGTACCTTAACACCATGCTTATATAGTAACAACATATTCATGTTTGAAGTACATGGTAGTTTTAGCGTTCTTCATAAACACTCACACAACAAGAACAAGAAGAAAGAAAGGATGAATGAAAGGAGTGCAAGTTAGGCTTACGAGTTATTTCATGATTGAACTTCTCTCTTTGCAGAACTAAGTGAAGCTGAAGCTGAAGATATTCATTTTAAGGAGGTAGTTTTATCTGTTTCATCTTTCTTGTTAGTCATGAGGATTTATTTAGTTTTGTGCTTTGTGAACCTCCTACTTATAGTTATCTTTTGGCATTTACCCCACGCCATTGTATCCCCTTGTTGAAAAGATGTGGAAATTCTGGTGTGCAAAAGCACCCAGTTCTCTACCTGTCTTGATTTATTCTTTGATGCTATTTGCTCTTATAGCCTATGTGCATACATATGGTCTTCATTTTATTTCTTTGTCCAAAGTTATTAACATGTTAAGTATCCTAGATTGAATATATAAATTAATTGTTCTGAACTGTTCAGGAAGTTTACTATCTCATTACATATCCGTATCTTTGGATGTGAGATCCCACATCAGTTGGAGAGGGGAACAAAACATTATTTATAAGGGTGTGGAAACCTCTCTATGCTAGATGTGTTTTAAAAACCTTGAAGGAAAACCCTAAGAGGGTAATATCTGCTAATGGTGGGCTTGGACTATTACAAATGGTATTAGAGCATTGAGCGGTGTGCTAGCAGGGATGTTGGGCCTCTAAGGGGGTGGATTGTGAGATCCCACATCGATTGAGAGGGGAACGAAGCATTCCTTATAATAGTGGAAACCTTTCCCTTGCAGACACGTTTTAAAAACCTTGAGGAAAAGCATAGAAGGAAAAGTTCAAAAAGGACAATATTTGCTTGTGGTAGACTTGAGCAGTTTTTTATTCATAATTGACGGAGTTTGAAAACTTATGCAGGCTTGGCTCACATACTTCTGGAGAAGAGCCAAGACATATGGTGTGGATGAGGATGTTGCAGATGAGCGGCTTCAGTTTTGGATCAGTCGTAGTGGACAGCCTCCGACTTCACATGATGCTGTCGATGGTACGTTACATGATTTCCATTACTGCTGTTACTGCCTTTGCTATCTCTAAACTTTATTTTTACATGCTGCATGAATCTATTATTTCAATTTTTATCATGGGATCTTCACAAATTAGTTTGCTTATGATTTTGATGTATTTCTGACCTTTTTTTTTTCCAGAAAATTTCCATGTTAAAATTTTCATTTTAGGATTACACACCAACACATACCTTCGATCTAAATGAACACAAAAAATAAGATAGAAAAAATGCAAAGAAAAATATTGACTAAAGGTTCATATTGATGAGTTCAGATATGTAGAGTAAAGAAAAATATTGGCAAAGGTTTATATTCAAAATAAGAGAGAAAATATAGAGAAGGTGGAAAGTACATCTTTAAAATATAATAGATATATATATAGTTTAATTTATTATATATAGTTTTATAAGATATAACTATCTATTATATATAATTATCTTTTTTTATATATATATATATATATATTTATATATATATATATAACCATTTTTCCATTTTCTATACATTTAGTCCGGGTAACAATTGAATAACCTATAAATAATAGGTAGCTTCCATACCTAACACTAACAATTATAGATTATTTTACAAAACCAACAAATGCTCTAACCATCAATATAGGGAGTTGGACTCTACCTGAAATTATGATAAATGTACATGCAATTTGTGTCTGGAAATCTCAGATTACTTCGATGCCTATCATCTGGAATGTAACTTATATTCTGTAGAACAATTGTATAGAACTTCATGAATTAGCTTTAAAGTCTCATTCCCTTTGGCAGTCGAACGAGGTCTTGTAGAGCTCAGAAAGCTTGGAATAGAACAACTGCTTTGGGAGGCATCTAGAAAGGAAATCGACCAATCTTCTGCCAGGGAATTAGACACCTAATCCTGAAAGATCGATCCCTACTAAAATGTCAGTTTTTTTTTTTTTAATTTTTTGCCACGAATTTTCTCTGCCATCTTTCTACTTTTACCCTGTTTGCTAGAGTGTGGATGCATATTTCTTTTCTAGCTTTATGCCGTGTGATATTCTGTTACATCTCCTGAACAGAGAGTTTATAGTGGAGCATTATTTTAGAGTGCTTTGTATGATAGATATTCATACCAATTCTTTCACCCAAAAGTTCAATTAATTTTTTCCATGTTTAGCTGTCTCCGATGTGTGTTTTTCTCCCCTAAAGAAAGCATAACCAAATTCTTTAATTTACTTTGTTTTTTTTCATTATCACCATGATTCCTCTGTTTTAGGGGCAGGTGTTCAGAAGTGTCACGAGATGCTCTGTAATAATTATGTCCAAACATTCTGCTCACTCTACAATGAAAAATCAAAGTAATCCATTTATAGAAACTAGAATCTATCTTCTGTTGTAACAAAATTTGAGATTTATTAGATTCTAATGTCTAAAAAGATTAATTAAAAGACAACTCAAATCGACCCAACCTGAATCCTAGAGATTGGGTTGCGTTGAGTGAGCATTTTGGGTTGGATTGAGTTAATTTTCTGAAACTGAAAATATTTCGTTCGAGTTTTGGATTCATTGAAAAAGAAAACCCAAATTGACCCAAAACCAAAACAAATATGTTAAGATAACTTGTGGGTTTCTGGGTTTGTCCTCCATCTGATTGATCGTTGAAAATTGTTGGGAAGAATTCTCAGATTGGTTAATTAAGAGGATGATGATCATGGATTTATAAGTAATACACATCTCCCTTAAAACGAGATTTTTTTGGAAAACCAAAAGATGTTCATTATAGAGAGTTGTAATTCTAAACATTAATGTCTAAGTCAATCCAAACCAGTTATAAAGTTTTTGGTATACAACGAGTCAACATTTATTAAACAATTTGGAATGTGGGGTCTCTTCTTCAAAGCAAAAGAAATTTTTTTTAAAAAAAAAGGCCACTGTCAATGGCTGCTGCTCTTCACGACGGTTCTCCAGTAATATTAATGACGCCAATTTTCTGCAGCCTCATTTAATACTCCTTGTCCCCCCATTCTTTCAGCTGAGCCATCGCACACATCTCCTCAAATTTTGAATCAATCTCAAGCATGTATATCCCTTCTGCCTTCTTCCCCAATCATCCAAAAGTCCCCTACTTCACTTGCAGAGCTCGTACTTATATCAATAGAGATGTATTTTTTACCATAACAACCACAAGAGAGTCTGGAAGAAGAAGAAGGCAGAGGAAAATGGAGAGTAACCGAAGGGATTTAGAGAAGGTGCGGTGAAAACCAAGGGTTTCACGAGATGCATGGGCTTACATTATCAACTTAAAATTTTATTCTCTGCTTTAGAGGGTCTTGTCTTCTTCCAATTTAAGTTTGTGTAGCTCAAGTTGCAGAGGCTGAAATTAGGTTAAGGACATGGAGAATACTGTTCCTGTTTGGTGTGTGATGCTGAATTAAAGTAAGCCATGGCAGAAACACACAGAGTTGTGTTCAGATTCAGATGGGGACTGTAATTAACACTGTTGTTGACATCAAGGGATAATGACCTTGGATTAAGCACAGATTATAACAGAAATTTGAAGGTTATGCATTTTTTTTTTTTTCCCTACTCTACTCCGTGATTTATTAACCAACTTAATTTATTTATTAGACAAAGACTTATGGGTTGGGCTTGAACTTAGGGTATTCTTTCTTTATAAAAAGAAGGAGAAATCTTTTGAAGCTTGGATCTCTTTCCATCCACTTTTGAACCCTCTTCGACTAAGGTGGGATCTCACAATCTATCCCTTTTGGGGTCAGAGTCCTCACTAGCATATCGGACAAGATCAATGATAACTTATAAGAATGTTTAGTTCTCCCCTCTAACTAATGTGGAATTTCGCATTCACCCTTTTTGAGGGGCCAGCGTCCTTGCTAGCACGTTATTCATAGCCTGGATTTGATAACATTTGTAATAACCCAAGCTCACCAAAACTACCGCTAACAGAAATTGTCCTTTTTGGCTTCTCCTCAAAGTTTAAAAAGCATATGCTAGGTAGAAGTTTACACGTTCTTACCAGGAATATTTCGTTCTTCTCTCTAACCAATGTAGGAACGGGATCTCCCAGTAACAATGACAACCCTAATCAAAATTTAAAATTTATATATTGAAAATGCTATTTAAAATTTTATTGGTTAAACTACAAACTTAGTCTACCTAAACTTACAAAATTTTGTCTAATAAATAGTTAAAAAAAAAAAAAAAGATGTTTAATAAATTTTCTTAAATGTTTTAATTTTGTCTTACATTTTCTCGACTAAAAAGACTAAAAATTTAACTTAATAGTACTAGAAATATTTTTTGGAACTCTAAAAATACATAGGAATCATATGAAAATGCTCTTGGGGAGAGCATCTTTATCAAAATAAATAAATAAACCTGAAAAATCTGCTAAGAAAATTGGATAGGGATAACTTATTACTCTGTAGAAAGCAACGTTGTGTAACGTTCCAGTGGTTGTTTGTTTGCCCCAAAAATCGCAACAAAAAAGTATATGCATATATAAAAAATAAAAATAAAAATAAAAATAAAAATAAAAGGAAAAAAGAAAGGATACCTTATTGCTTTCCTCTCCTATCTTTCGCCTCAGTTCTGCAAAATAACAAACTAAACGCTGAATTTGAAACAAACAAAAAGAAAACCCAAAAGGAAAAAAGAAAAACAGAAAGATAATACCCTTTTCCTTCTGCAACCTTCTCTTCTTTTCTTCCCTTCAGTTCTTCATCTTCTTCTTCTTCTCTCTCTCTCTCTCTCTCTCTCTCTCTCTCTCTCATTTTCCTTCCCACCTCACTGACAGTTATCCCTTTCTGTCAGCTTTCTTCCCCCATTTCATTTCCCATTCCCAAGAAACCCATTTGAACCCAACCTGGAAAGAACACTCAAAACTCAACGCCTGCTCTCTTCTTCATTATGCTTTCCAGAGTTGGGAGCGTCGGTTGGATGGAGAATCGAGAGGATGAAGGCTCTGCTTCCTGGACTAATAACGACACCCACAACCATCTCAATCACCCTGCTGCTAATTGCTCTGTTTTGGATAACAAGGACCAAATCAGCTCTCTCTCTACCTTCAAATCCATGCTTGAGGTTGAAGATGACTGGTGCATTGCTGCTAATGCCCTCCATAACCATAACGACATCAACGGCATAAGCTTCTCTCAGAATTTCACTGACCCACCTGATAATTTGTTGCTTCCCCATGGAGATTCATCCTCTTCTTGTTCCCCTTCTTCCTCTGTGTTCAATAACATTGACCCATCTCAATTGCAGTTCTTCTTACCCCCAACTCGCACTTTATCTTCCCTTTACAAGGTCATTGGTAATAACCCTTTAGAGCATGGCTTCGATTTCGGGGCAGAGGTTGGGTTTCTTGATGTCCAAGCTTCGAATACTTCGGCTCTGCTCAGCAGTGGAGGTGGGTTATTAACTGGGTTCACTGATTTAAGCCCAACAAGTCAGATGAACAGTCCTAATATGTGCTTAGGCTCTCAATTGACAACACCTAACCTGCCCCAAATGACTGGAAATTGTTCGGGTTTAGCGGGATTCCAGAGTTTGGATGAGAATTTGGGAAATGCTCTGCTTCTGAATCGGTCTAAGCTTTTGAGACCACTTGAATCCTTTCCCTCAGTGGGAACTCAGCCGACTCTTTTTCAGAAGAGGGCAGCTCTAAGGAAAAGCTTAGCTGATAAGGGAAGCAATTTGGGGGTTTTGAGCCCCGATGGCGGCTGGTGTTCTAACAGGATTGAAGGGGGTGTTGGGAAAAATGAAGTGGGTGATGAAAATGCGAAGAGGAAAATGATTTATGCAGATGAGATGCAAGAAACTAGCATCGACACAACCCGTTTCAACTACGATTCTGATGACTTTACTGAGAATAATGACACTAAGTTGGATGAGAGTGGTAGAAATGTTGGAAGTACTTCTAACGCCAATAGTACAGTGACCGGCGGCGATCAGAAGGGAAAGAAGAAAGGACTTCCGGCGAAGAATTTGATGGCTGAGAGGCGCCGGAGGAAGAAACTCAATGATAGGCTCTACATGCTGAGGTCCGTTGTTCCCAAAATCAGCAAAGTAAGAGTTCCTTGCTAGTTTAATTTTTGTATTTCACGTGATGTTTTCTACTTCTCGGATGCACTAGGTCATAAGAACATCCACCATTTCTTTAAACCCAAAGCCTCGTTTTTTGAGCTGTTCCAAAATGCTTTAAACTCATATGAACGATTGGAAGTACTTTCTCGTTCCACATCTCATACATAATTCAACTAATTTATGTTAGAAATTACACATAATTCAACTAGTTTATGTTAGAAATTACGACTCTCCACAATGGTATAATATTGTCTACTTTAAGCATAAGTTCTCATAACTTTGCTTTGAGTTTCTCCAAAATGTCTCATACCAACGGAGATGTATTCCTTACTCATAAGCTCAAGATCAATCCCTTAATTAACCGACATGGACCCCTCTTCTAACAATCCTCAAGTTTAGCCATAATTCACTTAAATGTTCAACTCTACCAGTAAAGAATGCAATTCTACCTTTTAGTTCAGCCCTGTAACTAACATGGCATGTCCTCTATCTCTTCCTTCTCATTCTCATTCCTGGTAGAGATCCGATGACGCTCCGTTTGCCCTCGGCCATCTCAGAAGTGTTTTTACTTATCAGTTGTCCTAGTTTCCATTGTGTTAGTATTCATTTAGGTTTTCAGTTCGAATCTTCAAACTGGGTTTCTAGTAAAAGTGTAGGTTTCTGTTCATACATTTTCATCATGTATGGGCTCTCTGTTTAAACTTATTGATTTCTATGCTGCCCCCACGCCATATCAATAAGAAGGACAAAAAGATCAACACTGGATGATGCAGTGTTTGGTTATATTAGTGTTTGGTTATATTTGTGTAACAACTCATGCCCGGAGATGAATGGTGTGAAAATCTCTCCATAATAAATGCGTTTTAAAATCGTGACGCTGATGACAATATGTAATAAGCTAAAGCAGACAATATCTACTAGCGATGAACTTTAGCTATTACAAATGGTATCAAAGCCGGGTTCTGAGCGGTGTGCCAGCGAGGACGCTAGCCCCCTAGAGGGATGATGAATTGTTAGGTCCCACATTGGTTAGAGAGGGATGAGGGTGTGGAAACCTCTCCCTAGTAGACGCGTTTTAAAATCGTAAGACTAACGGCAATATGTAACGAGCCAAACCAGATAATATCTGCTAGCAGTGGGCTTGGACTTGGCTGTTACGGTTGGCCTTCAAAATAACCAATGAACAGGGTTAAAAAAAGTGAAACCATCTCTCATTTGTCCTCTTTCTTTTGGATCTCTATACTAAGGGAATATTCCAAGAAGTTCTAACTTACCATGTGACCATACATGTAAGAATTTTAGCTTCTTAATTTTGTACTCGAAGGTTCTCTGTTCCTTTTCCCTCATTTGCTTCATATAGTTAACACTGTTAATGGATATTACCCTCTGGAAATGACTAGATGGATAGGGCTTCAATTCTTGGGGATGCAATTGAGTACCTGAAGGAACTACTGCAAAGAATCAATGACCTTCATAATGAATTGGAATTTTCTCCTTCCGGTACAGCGTTGACGCCGAGCACAAGCTTTCACCCCCTGACTCCAACCCCACCGACCCTCTCGAGTCGTATAAAGGAAGAGCTTTGTCCTAGCTCATTTCCCAGCCCTAATGGCCAACCTGCAAGGGTAAATTCCTTATCTTGGGACAACTTTCCTTTGTCCATCACATGATTATTGCATTTGCAATTATATTATTTGCTACAACCCTGTCATCTGAAGAAATTATTGATGATACTACTGTGTTAATAAGGTCGAAGTTAGGGTACGAGAAGGTCGGGCAGTAAACATACACATGTTCTGTGGTCGTCGACCTGGTCTCTTGCTCTCCTCAGTTAGGGCATTAGATAATCTTGGCTTAGACATCCAGCAAGCTGTGATTAGCTGCTTCAATGGTTTTGCCATGGACATTTTCCGAGCAGAGGTGAAACCCTGATTAAAATCAACACTTCATTCTTTTGTTTACCTTTTTTCCATGTTAACTTCAAAATGTAACATTTTAAAACTAATAATTCTAAATCCAAGAGTAAATTTTTTTTCTTAAAAAAAGAGTTTTTTAAGTATAAATTCAAACACAGCTTTCTTCTTACCTTTCAGTTTACTTGATGACGTGACCCATCCTTATGACTTGTGACTGATAAAGAGTACATATTTTCAGCAATGCAGCGAAGGCCAAGATGTCCATCCTGAGCAGATAAAAGCAATACTATTGGATTCAGTAGGTTTCAATGGTGCGACATAGATTTCTGTGAAACAAGTAAAGAATGCTTGTCCTTAAACAAACTGAACCATTTCATAGCATATTTTACCTCGCTTCTTTCTCAGGTAGCTGCTGAGTTATCAGTTGTTCAAGAAAAATGACTCGCTCGAAAGTAACATCGTCTGAAATATTAGATGCACTGACCTGCTTTTGAGATGATTATCAGAATTTGACATGATTATCAGAATTTGACGCTGCGGCTTGTGTAGCTATTCCATGTTTCAAAATGGGAATACTAGCAAAGGGAATTGTGTTAGCAATTTTAAGGACATAGCTTGATAATCAACTGTATGAATCCTCCATTTTTTCGAAAAGACCAGATAATTTCACCTGTGTTTTGATCCATTTTGTTCAAACACACCCAACTTCGTCCCTACCCACGTTTCAATTCTTGGAGGCAGATGGGTACTTTCTTCCATAGAAAATAAACTAAAATAAAGAAGAATGAACCGAACCATTCTTGTATCTGTGCAGAACTAGGCTATTATATTTACACCGAGCAGATGCAAATATGCTTCACATGATCAAAATGTTGTGCAGTTAACTAAAAGTTTAAATCTTATAAATGTTTTGTAAATTCACATAGAACAATTTCTCAAGCTTTTTAACTGTTCAGCTCATTTCATGTTTCCAACGAAATCCACCATTAAACATTGACCTCATGCTTCGACAATATCAAATACCTAAAACAAACCAAAAGCTACGTTTCCTGCGTTTGGAAACACTTTAATGAACACACATGATGCAGAAGCTTATCCTTTAAATCAGAGTAATATCTCGTAGGCCCATGGTATTTCATAATGACATTACTAATGAGTTAACCTAGAAAGAGGAAAAGAATCATATAATATTGTCATTACTTGGTACCCTTACTAACTAGAGACCTGCCCACCGGGAGATGTGATTATGCGTCAGTAATATGTATTGCACTTTTATCTTCCTTTTTCGGTGCCTTTTTCCGCTTTCTCTCACTTTGAGGTTCTTTTGTCTTTAGTTCATGGCAGAAGGACGACAATGAGGCAGCCAGATGCTCGTTTCTATGAGCTGAGACCAAAATGATGCAGAAACAAAGAGGTTCAAGCGATTAATACTACTTCCGATTAAAGTCTGCTGCATATTGACTAAATATAACTAGACAGTACTACAACAAAACAAATGAAAAATTGGAGTGCAAGCTGAGATTAACAGATATCAGGACAGGCTAACCTGAGAGTATGACGTCTTCCGTATTCACAGATTTCCGACCACCATGATGAGCAAATAACTCAAGGTCCTTTGCCAACTGTTCTGTTACACAAGTTACCATTCCGTTATCTATCTCATTGCGAAACTTTGAGAATCATAAAAACAAATCAAACACAATTATGACTGAATTATCTCCTTTCCTTGCTGCCTGAGATACAACCATAGTGGCACAGTAAACGAAACTTTGTTTTCCTTGCATATATTATACAAATTGGTAGTTCATATGGTAGCCTTGCAACTACAAACATAAGCATGACCCTACACCATGGTATGAGCTCAAATTATGGTCAAAACCTAGTAAACCTACCAGATCATTCAAGTGTATGATGGAAGAAAACCTTAACTTCATGGATATGATATAAGTATATGTTTTCTTCTTTAACGCAATGAATGAAGTATTCATCGGTAACAGAAAACTGACTTGAAGCTAATGTATAAATATAAATTAAAATAATAACTATGTTTTCTTTACGAGATTGAAATATAAACAGAGAAACATAAGATAACGAGAACTCTCCTTCCCATGGTATAACTCAACATTTTTGCTTCATAAGAATCTTACACCTCTTCTTCCAGAGGCATAGGCTCCCACAAGAGTATGACAAGGTTAAGGCTTTACACCTAACACAAATGCTGTAAGGTGTAAATCTCAAGGTAGAATGAGGGACTTTGTCCGTCATACTGAAAGAAGCAATTGATATGAACAATAAGAACATCTGATTAGAATCCAAAAGTATCGTGAAAAGTCATTCACTAAGTTATCACAATGGCCCCTCCATCATTTGTACTTCCTGCAACACTTTCCTGTCTTAAACTTGACACAACTTATGTAGTTTCCTTCCAACTAGATCACACGATTTAACTACATAGCACAGAAAGGCATCCCAACAAACCAAATGCATGCTAAATAGAAAGGAAATTTCTAACCGAAACTGCATATAAACTACCTAAAAATGATGGAAACACAGCGAGAAGAGAACGGATACTAAAACAATTAGCAATTAGGTCATCAACATAATGCAGACTGTAAGTCTAACGAAAGGTGGAATTGGCAATTTCGGTGATCTATACATTATCCTGAAATCGGTTGTAGTCATGTAGAAATCAAGTGCTCATAATAACATTGCAGACTCAAAACAGGAAAGGAAAGAACAGTAAACTAACTTGTATATTTGAACGCTAACTCAGCGACACAAGTCATCACCGGTACAGAGATTTCCATCCCGCTTCTCTTCGCTGCAAAACAAACCAAACAGTTCACAATTAGAGTAAGCGAAACAGAAATACGAAAACTTCGTCTTGGCATACAGTAATCAGAGGATAATACTTCTTCATTTTTCCTGTTGATTCTGATTGTATTACACATACAACCAGACAAGTTTGCAAATGAAGAGAGTAAGATGAAGATAATTAACCTTCAGCTTCAGCGATAGAAATGGCGGACAGTCGGAATCGGCCCCTCAAGAGTTCGGCCGTGGAGTCGTCTTCTTCCATCCCAGTCTCCATTGCAGAGCCTTCTGGACACAGAGTTCACTCCATTTCGCTGCACCTGTTCGCACCCGCCTTTATTCCCTCCAGAAATGACACTCGCGACGAGGATGCCCCTAAAACGAATCGTTTCATCTTTTCCCTTTTTTTTTTTTCCAAAAATCAAATTTTGATTATATACTAATAATGTATAAATCTTTTATCTTAAATTTTCAATTTTCATAGGTATATATATGTATATATATATATATATGAAAAGACACATTTTTATTTTATGAATTACATTTAGAGATGTCTATTTTATCCGTGGAGACCCGTAGGAAACTGAAAGTGAATTCTTTGTTTAGATGAGAGATGAGCGAGGAAATTGAAAACATTTTTCCATAAGACAAATGGAATTAGAACGGGATTAGATTTACTCTCATTATTCCCACCCAGCTTAGTATAAATATACCTTTCAACACATAATATAATATAATATATATGTATCATATATATATATATATATATATATACTAATTTGTTATATTAAAAAATAAATTAATTAATTTTGAGATCTAAATGTAATATTAAACTAAAAGATTAGGTTTTTCTTTTTAATTGTTAAAAATTATGGTGTGACGTTAAAATTTGAATTTTAAGAAATTATTGTGATAGTATATGTTTGCTTATGAAATATACTGATTTATTATAATTTTTTTACCATTCTTTTAATAAAGATTATATTGAAAAATGAAAATTTTAAAATAATTTTTTTAAAAAAGAATAATAAACGAAGCACCTGATCCCACCAAATTTCCCGTAGAATTTCCAGCAATAATAAGTATAAAAATTCGCAGTAGAATTTCCAGCAATAAGAAGTATAAAAATTCGCAAGAATGAAGAATGAATTAGGTAAAAGGGATGCAAATGGAAAAGACTTCCCGTCCCCACCCGTAGAATATAGATGAAAAATCGAGTGTCATAAATATTACACTATTTTTAAATTTGCCATTCTCTTTAGATTCATTACACTTTAGATTCATTATACTAAATCATCTGATATTACATAAATCTAAGAGAGTACTTTCGACCTTGTCTTTCCACAACTCAATATCGACCTTGTCTTTCCACAATTCGATATCGATTCCAACTTAACTCTCAAAGATGAAAATTTATGCGACAACCGGATGAAACGTATGAGTGACTCAATTCATGGAGTAAAAGGATTGGATGCCCTGAAAAAAGTAGCCAAATTTATGCATTCTTATACAATACAAGGCAAGAATTGAGAAGTACACACTTCTTAAGAGTTATCGTAGTGCAATATGTTCTGTAAAGCATCGCTACAGCGCTCCATTGGGTGAAAAAGACTGAAAACTGCGGCCACCATCGTTCTAACTGATGTCTGTAGCCTAATCTTTATTCACTATGATTCCTGCACAAATCCTGCTTTCTTTATGACCAGAATGTTGTTACAATGGTCGATAAAGAATCAACCCAAAAGAACTGTGATACTAAATGATATAGAATCACTACAAGAGAGGTGAGATTCGGACTATCTTGTTGACCGAACATCTCAGAGCAAAAACACTTATTTGAGATTTGAATTACTCCACAAGCATGAGCAAGAGCAAGATCAAGATCGATCATGTTATAGCTTAAATGATTCTATACATGCAATCTAAACTACGTAGAATTGCAAAGAAACTTAGTAATTAGCTAAAGGAAAAGGTAAAAACACTAAGTTGATGGTAAGAAATCACTCCAAGGAATGTAAAAATTCAAGTTATCAAATATCTCAAAGCAATAACACTTGCAAAGAAACTTAGCCCTTGGCTAAATGATAGCACAAATGATTCTAAGCACAAGGAAGGTCGATCATGTCAAGTTTGAAGGATTTTAAACATACAATCTAAACTACGCAGAATTGCAAAGAAACTTAGCACTTGGCTAAATGAGAGCCCAAATGCTCCTTTTACTATATTTTCTATGTCTGCTGTACAAGGACTACATGGTTTTATTAGCCACCATGTATACTTTATGGCCATAATTAGCACCATGTAAATGTAATCTTAAAGTAAATAAAAAGTCTAAATGCATTGAAGAAAAACCATAACTCTAAAATATCATCCACCCAAAATTTGTAGTGAATAAATTTGTAACGAATAAATGAAGCTTGATTCTAGTTTAATGTGACATGAATTGCAACATTTCATGATAATTTGACCAACATTTTCTTCACATCTTCCTTAAAGTTTATAGTTTAGTACAATGGGATGTATCTGAGATGTGAAAGGAGGCAGCCGTTACCGTGCAGTTTCCTGAGTCTGAAACTGAGCTTGGTAGTATGTCCACTGGAGAGCCATTTTGCTTGCTTTCAAGAATTCGACCGGCTCTTTTGACTGTAAAATACAAATACAAAAACAAAATCATTTGACCAAAGAACTAACAAGAGAACAAGAACATCAGATAGAAAGGGTGATGGAAATTTACACAAGATAAGAACAATTATTAGGCGACTATTATTGCAAGACAAATGAACCCTCTATTCTTTTCTCCATGGACAGCTGAGAGAGATTTAATGGAGAAAACATGTCCTTGAGACTGGAGGCTGGGGCTGGCTTGAATTCGTAAGGTCCTTTTGTTCCCCAAGCCTGTCCCGCGCAGAAAATCAAACATCAAATTTACATGAGGTCGCCATATGAAACTGAAATACGAGTTAACGTAAAAAGAATTAAACCTGGTTTCCATCTTCGTCATAACCCCTTTCCCAGGTATGTACTTCATTATTCTTTAGGATAGCAATTTCTGAAGTACAGTAGGCTGCTCCATTCTGTCACAAAAAGAAGGCCAATGGTAAGAGAGGGAAGTAATACTTCGCACTGGAACGCTCAAACCTACCTCTTTGGACTTTCCCTTCTGAGCTTTCCCTCAAGGTTTTAAAACGTGTCTACTAGGGAGAAGCTTCCACACCCTTATAAGGAATGTTTCATTTCCCTCTCCAATCGATGTGAGACTTCACAATCTACCCCCCTTGGGAACCTAGCATCCTCATTGGGCGGTGTGGATGCTCGTTGACACATTGCCCGGTGTCTGGCTCTGGTACCATTTGCAACGGCCCAAACCCTCCGCTAGCAGATATTGTCTTTTTTGGGCTTTCCCTCAAGGTTTTAGAATGCGTCTACTAGAGAGAGGTTTCCAACTCATTATAAGGAATGTTTCGTTCCTCTCTCCAATCGATGTGGGATCTCACAGTTGCAGTTGGGATAACTAATTTCTTAGTCTTACTCTTGACATTCTCACAGATAAGAAAACCCAAATAAATCTTACTCTTGGCATTCTCACAAATAAGAAAACCCAAACAAATTATGTGGAATGAGAATGGAACATAGATATACAGATGCTCTTACCCATGAATTTGGAAAACCACCAGGTGGAGTTGAACCTTCGTAGAGGCAACGTTTTCCACGGTCACAACACTTGAGATGTAGCGTAGTTAAATGCTCCGCAATGTCCTGTGCATAAAAAATCTAGACTTCATTTAAGAATGATAAAATACTTGTCCTACGGAGCACCTTATGAACAATAATGGATTTTGTTTTGTTCTTACGGTAGAAATAATAATACCAATCTGATAAACTCCACAAAACTATAAATCAGAGCTTTATGAAAGATTTATTTGCTTCTTCTAGTTTCAAAACCATGTTTATCTTCCCCTTTGGCCACGGTAACTTATGTTGGCTTGCTCATTCTATGCATTAATGGGGTATCGTTAGAACTTATCGTAGGAAAAGGAACTTGAACGGGTTCCAGAATTCATTAAAAAATAGAAGATCACTAATTCAAAATCCAAATCAAGTAATTACGGTTAACATTAAACTCATATATCCATATCTACAAATCTCTGGCCTGATTACCCAGAGCTGCAGTTCCAATAGTTCCAACGTGATATCATACAGACACTATCACCGAACTTTGTTATCTTCAATGGATAGTTTGGTATTTCCATCCCACACCCATGCCCATGTTCACATTTTTTATTCTTTCAAGTCATCATTGTGAAGCTACGTTAAGCTCACTCAAATTCCCACTTATTCACCGCTAGCAGATATATTCCTCTTTGAGGCTTTCCCTTTCGGGCTTCCTCTCAAGGGTTTTAAAACGCGTCTGCTAGGAAGAGGTTTCTACACCCTTATAAAGAATGTTTCGTTCCTCTCTCCAACCGATGTGGGATCATGCAAGTTCTCTGCTAAGAACCAAATTCAACATTTTACTTGATCCAACAATGAAACAATGGAAGTTTATGTATAAACATGGATTTGAGTCCCTGATCAAAACCAAACTTAATCAAATTGGGAACTAAAATTTGGATAGGTTAAGACCGGGTATGATTCTCAAGTTAATTGGCTCTAAGAGAGCTCTGTGCCATATTTTCTCAAGTAACATAGAGATTAGGTTGATCAGGAATAGGACTAGGACAATAGAAAATCTAAAACAACATATTCTGAAACAGACTTATATAGCTATATTCAAGCAATAGAAAGTCTAATGAAAGCTTTAAGCAGATGGCTAACCCCAACTATTTCTTCGGGAAGAGGACGTTGGTCTTTTGTGCGATCACAAAAATTCTTGTACTCCTCCATTTCTCGAATGGCGTATGAGCTTAGCTGCAAAATGAACAAATATAAGAAACTTTTGTAGCTCACATCAGTTAGATTACATCGAAAAAGGAGAAAGATAACAATGTCATATTGCTTCAAACAGCATGTTACACAGTATATGCAAACCATTTTGTTGGCTTCAAATGCGGCAACCAATCATACCAATACCTATAGAACTTCAAAAACTCATAGTATTATATACCCTCCATTTACACCAACAACAAAACAGCGTAAGTTCTCACCTCCACATCACATTTCATCTCCTTTGAACAAAGTTTCACCGTATAAAATCTCTGCAACCGTAGAATTAATGACCATTATTACAGGCATAATGAAGGAAGGTTCAACAATGGCTAAATATCTTGTTCTACAGAAATCTCAAACTACAAACACTAAAGAAGATGGTGGGATAATTACAATACCTGGCGAAATGGTTTTTGAGGAGTTCTGGAGAAAGCCTATCGAAATAACACAATAAAATGAGGATTGATATCTGGAAAAGGGAGCTGCTAAAGGGATTATTATCTTACAGACTCACTTGTTCGAAGTACAACACCGTAGAACCATCAACCAATTCTGCTGCAGGGCACGTAGTCATTCTATAACAAAATTCTTAATCCCATCATCAATCAAGACTATTCATCCACAAATTTATCTCAACCACAATTCAAAACAGAGGAGCCAATGAAAGCTTAATCAAATAGATTTAAGAAGTGGTCCTTGATTCAGTAGAACACTAGAAATTGATTAATTCACATACTACGTACCTGATGTTGAAGTAATTTTCAGGATCCCTAGCCGCTTGCTCCTTCGAAAACTAACAAAAAAAAAAAAAAAAAAAAACAAAAAAAAAAAAA